GGTGGCTCAGCTGATTAAGCGTCCAACTTTGACTCAGGGCGTGATCTCGCGGTTTGTGGGTTCAAGCCCCGCGTCGGGCTCTGTGCTGACAGCTCAGAGCCTAGAGCCTGCTCCGGATTCTGCCTCCCTTTCTCTCTGCCCCTGCCCTGCTCACACTCTGTCTCTGTCTCTCTCAAAAATAAATAAACATTAAAAAAAAATTTAAAAAAGGAAGAATGAGCAAAGAAAGCCCCTGCAGAAAGGAAATTATAAGAGAAGAAATCTTGAGAAAGCAAGTAAGAACAACGGAATGGATAAAAATAAAATAGGTAACCCTGATGAATTAAAAAAATCCTATGTGATCAGAAGCAAAGTTAATAAACACACTAATCTGGTGCTCAGATAAATAGAGAACATACAACAATTATACTTAAAAAGAAGGGAGAGGCAAGGGAACTAAAGGGAAGTAAGGTTCCTACGTGTCACAAGCAGTCAAGCACTGACAGCCGGGAGCTAACCTCAGCACCGCATGCACTGCAGAGCCTGGAGTAGCTGCTGAGATAACTACACCGGGTCCTCAAAATTATGCAAGTGACCCATCAGGGGGTAAGAAAAATGTAATAGAGAAACAAGAAACAGAGAAAATAACAAAATGAGAGACTTAGGTCCTGACATATCAACATTTACCATAAATGTAAATGGTCTCAACGCTAATTAAGATATATTGACCGAATGGATTAAAAAAACAGCATCCAGGGTGCCTGGGTGGCTCAGTCAGTTGAGTGTCTGACTCTTGATTTCGGCTCAAGTCATGATCTCCTAGTTTGTGGGATCAAGCCCCACGTCGGGCTCTATGCTGACCCCATGGAGCCTGTTTGGGATTCTGTCTCTCACTCTCTGCCACCCCCCCCCCATCCCACACTCATGTGCACGCACTCTCAAAATAAACATTAAAAAAATCATCCAACAATCCAACAATATCTTATCTATTGAGAAACTCATTCAAATACAATGGAATAAACAGACTGAAAGTTTTAAAATATGGAAAAGACAGACCACTTTAGACATTAATAAAAAACAAGTAGGTCGGACAAAGGGCTAGTATCCAAAATCTATAAAGAGCTCACCAAACTCCACACCTGAAAAACAAATAATCCAGTGAAGAAATGGGCAGAAAACATGAATAGACACTTCTCTAAAGAAGACATCCGGATGGCCAACAGGCACATGAAAAGATGCTCAACATTGCTCCTTATCAGGGAAATACAAATCAAAACCACACTCAGATATCACCTCACTCCAGTCAGAGTGGCCAAAATGAACCAATCAGGAGACTCTAGATGCTGGAGAGGATGTGGAGAAACGGGAACCCTCTTGCACTGTTGGTGGGAATGCAAACTGGTGCAGCCGCTCTGGAAAACAGTGTGGAGGTTCCTCAGAAAATTAAAAATAGACCTACCCTATGACCCAGCAATAGCACTACTAGAAATTTACCCAAGGGATACAGGAGTACTGATGCATAGGGGCACTTGTACCCCAATGTTTATAGCAGCACTCTCAACAATAGCCAAATTATGGAAAGAGCCTAAATGTCCATCAACTGATGAATGGATAAAGAAATTGTGGTTTATATACACAATGGAGTACTACGTGGCAATGAGAAAGAATGAAATATGGCTCTTTGTAGCAACGTGGATGGAACTGGAGAGTGTGATGCTAAGTGAAATAAGCCATACAGAGAAAGACAGATACCATATGTTTTCACTCTTATGTGGATCCTGAGAAACTTAACGGAAACCCATGGGGGAGGGGAAGGAAAAAAAAAAAAGAGGTTAGAGTGGGAGAGAGTCAAAGCATAAGAGACTCTTAAAAACTGAGAACAAACTGAGGGTTGATGGGGGGTGGGAGGGAGGGGAGGTTGGGTGATGGGTATTGAGGAGGGCACCTTTTGGGATGAGCACTGGGTGTTGTATGGGAACCAATTTGACAATAAATTTCATATATTGAAAAAAAAAAACAAGTAGGAAAGACTATATTAACAGCAGATAAAGTAAATTCCAGAATAAGGAAAATTACTAGAAACAAAAGAGCTATTATGTAATGATAACCAGGTCAATCCACCAGGAAAACAAAATGTTCCTAAATGTGTATGCACCACATAAGAGAGCACCAAAATATATAAATCAAGAGCTGACAGAGCTAGAAGGAGAAATCGGCAAATTAGCAATTATAATTAGGGACGTCAATAACCACCTTCTCCAGCAAGAACACAGAAAAACTGAACAATGCCATGAACAAACAGGGTCTGACATAAAACACTCCACTCGACATCAGAATAAGGGCCTTTGGAGCACTTACACAGACCGTACCTGAGGCCACAAGACAAACCTCAACAAACTTAATAAAACTAAAATCATACAAAATGTGTTTGTTCTGGGTGGCTCAGTCAGTTAAACATCTTCAGCTCAGGTCATGATCTCACGGTTCGTGAGTTTGAGCCCCACATCAGGCTCTGCGCTGACAGTGTGGAGCCTGTTTGAGATTCTCTCTCTCTGCCCCTCCCAATCTCTCTCTCTCCCAAAAATAAATAAAAATTAAAATTAAAAACAAAGTGTGCTTGTTCTGTGACCAGAGTGGAATCAAACCAGAAACCAATGACAGAAAGACAACAGGTAAATCTCCACAAACACTTGGAAACTGAGCAACAGACTTCTAAACGATCCATAGATCAAAGAGGAAGCTTCAAAGGAAATGTTTTAAATTAACTGAACTAAATGAAAATAAAAATACAACATACCAAAAGAAACAAGATGCAGCTAAGACAGTGCTGCAAGGGAAACGTGTGGCACTAAACACACTAGAAAAGAAGAAAGGTTTCAAGTCAATAAGCTACATTCACAGCACAAGAACCTAGAAAAATAACAGCCAAAACAAACAGGAGAAAAAGCCAGAAGGATAGAAACCAAAGAAATTAAAAACAGAAAAACAAAGACGGGGCGTCCGGGCGGCTCAATCGGTTGAGCATCCGACTTCAACTTGGGTCATGATCTCGCAGTCTGTGAGTTGGAGCCCCGCATCGGGCTCTGTGCTGACAGCTCAGAGCCTGGAGCCTGTTTCAGATTCTGTGTTTCTCTCTCCCTGCCCCTGCCCTGCTTGTTCTCTCTCTCTCTCAAATATAAACAAACATTAAATTTGTTATACATATATAAAAATAGAAAAAAGCCAATGAAACAAAAGCTGGTCTTTGAAGAAATTAAAATAACTGCCAACCCTCTAGAAAGATTGACAGAGAGAGAAAGCACAAGTTACCAACATCAGGAGCAACACAGGAAACATTACTGCAGACCCTACAGACATCAGAAGATGATGGGATATACTATAACCAAGTCTGCACATGTAACCTCCACATGTGAAATGGGATGGACCCATTCTTTGAAAAACCAAGCTACCACAACTCAACAATATGCAGATAATTTGTAGATAATTTGAATAGCCTCATAACCATTAAGCAAACTGAATTTGTAACTTAGCAAAAATCCCCCCAAAGAAATCTCAAGGCCCAGATAGTTTCACTGGAGAATTCTACCAAATATTTAAGGAAGAATTAACGGCAGTTTGATGCAATGTTTTCCAGAAAAAGAAAAAGGAGAAACACTCCCCAAATCATGTTATGAACCTAGTATTACCCTAACACCAAAACCAGAAATTGAGAATACCATAAAAGAAAGCTACACACCATTCTCTCTCATGAACTCAGACCCAAAACTCCTCAACAAAACATTAGCTAATTGGAGGCAACAATGTATAAAAAGAATTATATACCGCAACCAAGTAGGATTCATTCTACCTATGTAAGGCTGGCTTGACTTCCAAAAATCAATCAACGTAATCTACCACGTCAAACAGCTAAAGAAGAAAAACCACACAATCATACCAAGAGATGCAGAAAAAGCAGTTGACAAAACCCAATGTGTACTCACAATAAAAACTCTTAGCAAACTGAGATTAGAAGGTAACTTCCTAAAAGTAATAAAAACCCAACAGTTAACACTGCATTTGACGGTGAAAGAATGGATGCTTTCTGTTTCAGATGAGGAAGAAGGCAGGAACATCTACGCACATAATCTCACTCATTGAAGTACTGGAAATTCTAGCCAGCGCAACAAGGCAAGAAGAACAGATAAAAGGCATATAGAGAAAGAAGAAATAAGCGACAGATCTCAGAATTTCAAAGTGGTTCCCAAAGAAATTTCAAAAAAGTCTACTAATTTGTAAGTTATAGCATCATCACTGTGAGACGTGAAGTAAATGCAGCGTCTGGAAATACTTAAAGCACAACATATTGCCTATTTGCTTATTAAAATAAACTCAAGCTTACAGTCCTAACTCGCATGCAATTTACCTTTAAATTTTATGGGGCTCCTTACATTTTCCAAGGGATTTATTTTCGGGCTGGCGTTCTGGTAACAGTGTGTACAGCATAACCTAGGACTTTCTGGGCGAACTTATTCTTCCACTTTTCAATTTGACTTCCCTCCACATGAACGTAGCAAGTGCAGTTCGGGTTTGGGGGATTGTTTCATTGAGATAAGGAAAAGAGGAAATGGTAACGGAGACACTCACAACAATGGTCCCCACGATGATGGCATGCACGCGCGCACAATCACGCACGTGGTCAGACAATCTCACACGACCTCACACACACTCACACACAGTATGTTCCAGGCACCATTCTGAGCACTTTTAGATTTTAGCCCATTTAATCCTAACTAACCTGTTAGGGAGTAACACCATCCCCACTTTCTAGATGACAACACCGAGGCAGAGTGAGGTTAAGGAATTTGCCCAAGGTTGACAGAGCTGGAGCCTGAGCCCAGGCGGCGTGACCCCAGAGACCACGCTCTCTGCCTGCGCCGGAAAAGCTCTAAGCATCTCTTCGGGAGACGGTATTACACCGCATTTTTGTCAGCGGACGGCGGGAAGCTGGAAACCGAGCGGGGAGGAAGGAGCAGCGTGGTTACCTGGAGTAGGCGCCGGTCCCGGCCTGGATGAGGGTGGGCAGGCCGGCTATGAACAGGCCCAGCTGCACGTCCTGCACTACGAGCATCCCAAGCAGCACCGCACTGTAGTCGACGTCACCTGCTTGAGGAAGAATGTGTCAATGGCACATGTTTACAGTAACTTAAAGTGTCCCACGTCAAAATACGGTCATTAGGCACATTTCCGATATAATTCAACTTCTGCCACTTAAAGAGAATACAGACTTTAGAATCTCTTTGAGGGCAAACACTGAAACATCTTCAACATGAAAAACTTTTTGTAAAGAAAACTTCCAGGATATTTCCAGCACTTGTTACTAACACACTTAAAGAAAAAACGCCATCGTGGAAAGATAGCACGGGGCACAAGAGTATGGTGAGCCTGGATAAGCAGGTCAATGTCACTGTGTGTCCCCAGAATACAGGAAACAGCCTTCACGCTAGTCTTTCTCTCTCCCCTAAGCGCTTCAGGAGACCTAACCCTACCCCCCTTCTGGTCGCACCTGCTGGCTGACCCAGCTGACAGGTCGCCTTCCCTCCAGCCCACCATCATGGCCACAGTGAGCGTCTGTCACTGACACAAATGCAGAGAGGCTCATCAGGTGGACAAGACAGAAGACAGTAGCCAGGGCTGCCCAAAGGGACCATGTGGCTCATCCACAAAGGCAACCGGAAATGGGTACCATTTTCCCGAACTCCACGCGTCACACAGGTGTTCGGTGTCTCCATTTCCAACCAACAGTTCTGGCTTTGGACCAAACTTTTAACTGTCATGTTCCCCCATAAAATAAGCTATTTTTGTTTTCTTAGAAAAGAAAAAAAAGCAACTGACAGTAACAGATATTTAAAGGCTAATCTGATAAGAGTAATCTTACAGAAAAGAAAAAGAATAAGCTAATCAAATAAAATCAAAATCTTTCATCACCAGCAAAAATCACAATTGTTAGAAGTTTAGGTACTCCTTCTAGGAAGCTTGTCTTACTTACCAAAGTTAAATTTTTGGTGAATAAAGTATCCAGGCTTTAGAATTTGATTTATTTATTTGTTTTTGGCTTAGAATTTTAAAACATTCTAAGTGGATAGCGCCATGAGGTTGCTGCGGCTAAAGCTTTTACAACTTAAAAGTGAAGAAGAATTCCCCACACTAATAATGGGTGAGTGGGACACTTCAAAAACCCATCATTTTCAACAAAGCCCTCCATGGGTTCCTGACTGTGATTCTCCTGTCCCGATCCCAGGAAGCGTGCCAGGTCCTGTGCTCGCAGTCACACCGCGGTCTTCCTCCCCAAGTCCTCACGCGAGGTGAACACACTTGAGCCCTGCGCCCGTGATGGTGCCTCTTCCAGACTTAGAGGAGACGCTAATTCCAGTCACACCTTACTTTTTCAAAACAGCATTTACTGATACACTGCCAGCATTTTGTAAATGTTTTTAAAATCCTGCTCTTTGCCTTTCACCAGATCACAGCGGTCTTAACTGGGCGGGCATCAACTATCTACCAGCAGATGGGGGGCAGCACGAACAGAGGGGGGCGCCCCCAGCATGGCCCAGTCCACAGGGAGCACTCAGGGAGCAAGTGCAGAGCAGCAGCTCACTGAGGCTGGAGGGGAAAGACTAACCACAGCAACTGATGTAAAAGGAAACAGTACAGTGAACACAGAGGCGAAAGAATTACTTTGCCTGGGGAGCCTGGGTGGCTCAGTCAGTTAAGCAGCCGACTGTGGCTCAGGTCACGACCTCACGGCTCGTGGGTTCGAGCCCCACGTCAGGCTTTATGCTGACAGCCGGGAGCCTGCTTGGGATTCTCTCCCTCTCTCTCTGCCCCTCCCCCACTCGTTCTCTCTCTCTCTCTCTCTCTCTCTCTCTCTCAAAAATAAATGAACATTAAAAAAAAATTTTTTTTTTATTTTTATTTAAAAAAAATTTTTTTTCAACGTTTATTTATTTTTGGGACAGAGAGAGACAGAGCATGAACGGGGGAGGGGCAGAGAGAGAGGGAGACACAGAATTGGAAACAGGCTCCAGGCTCTGAGCCATCAGCCCAGAGCCCGACGCGGGGCTCGAACTCACAGACCACGAGATCGTGACCTGGCTGAAGTTGGACGCTTAACCGACTGCGCCACCCAGGCGCCCCGAACATTAAAAAAATTTAAGAATTAGACTGAACTGTTAAAAATTAAAGATAGAACTTTTAATATTTTTCATCTGCATTTTACACTAAGTTTAATCTTTGTGCTTACCACTACTATAAGCATTTAAAATTTTTTGTTTTCCATCTGTTTTATTAAATACCTTAAACATATGGAAAATAAAAAATATAACAAATACCCACATACCCACTATTGTGTTTTGCTAAATCTTAAACCTTTGAGACCCTGACTTCAGATTTTTGGGAAGGAAGATACTGGACAATGCAGGTACCATGAGCCCGCCACCTGCGGCTGGACCCCCCGCCACACCCCCAATCACCGCCTTAGGTTCCATGTTTTTTATTCTCTTGAGTGGTTTTCTACTTTTAACAAAATAACAGCTATGTATCCGGGAACAACACTGAGTTTGTTATTTTGTAATTATAAACTTTTTATAACTTAATCCATATTTCTGCAACTTGCTTTCGTTTTTGCTTACCATTATGTCTGAAAATTATCTGTGTTGATGCACAAAGATCTCTTTTTAAAACTGCTGTAGAATACAGCAATTTACCCATTCCCTGATGTTAGGCACTTAGGTTTTTAATCTTTCCATTACTACAAGCATGCTATAATGAACATTCTAGCACATTTGCTGGACACACCCCCTTCCCTTGCTTGTGTTCTCACCAGGAGAGACTCCCCCTCACCACTCATGGCCTCCGCCCTGGCCCCGTGCCCCACCTTGCCCACCCTACTCTACAGATGAGAGTCTCCACCTGGGCAAGGGGATGGTGAGGTCACAGCATGGCAGTCTCTTGCAGGCCTGTGTTTTCCAGAGGAGGCTTCTGTGGGTCCATGCTGCATGGAGGATAGGTACTGAAGGCCACCACAGCCACATCTTCCATTGTCATCTTTCATCATAATCAAGTTGCTACCGTGACCTCCAGCCGCCTGTCCCCTTCATGGTTATATGGGTTCTGAGCATGGCCATGGAAGGCTGGAGCTATTTACTGACCCCTTTGAGGGTCTGGGCCCCACTATCCAATGTACTGGCCGGAACCCTGAGGAACAGAAAAGGAGAACTGGGGCAACAATAAACCCACATATGAAGAGGGGCAGGGGTGTCATCCTCAGGCACTTCCAAATGCTCTCAGTGTGCAGGTTTGTGAGGACGCAACTTTGCACAGTTTCAAAGTTTATGTAAATTACATCGGACCAGATGTCCTCTTTATCTTCTATTTCTCCCTCCATAGTGTAAGATTAATTCATTTTTACCTCTGCAGTATTCCAGTATATGGACACACCATAATTTAATTATTCGTTGGATTACTAAATGCTCAGATTACTTAAAATTTTTTGCTATCAAAAATAAGTATTTTGAGTATTCTTTCATATTTGAAGTTTTCTAGGACATGTCTCTAGAAATGGACATCTCTGTTTGTGGAACTGTTCCCCAAAGTGACCAAACCAGCTCACACTCCCACTGAGCACCCGTGAGCGCTTGCACTCATGCCGACATGGGGCAGGTCCGGGGAGACACCTGGCTGGCTCATGGGAGGACAGGTCTGCACCTGCACGTCCCGATTCGCTAGCGAGGCCGGCATTTCTACATGTTCACGTAGCGTGCACGCCTCCTCTTCCATAAGTTCTCCATTGGGAAGAAGTTCTATTTTCCAGCGGGGTTTCCTTCCGTTTTGATTCTTCTTAAAACTCTTGATGCATTCTAAGTACTACTTCTTGCACATTTTATATACATAGCACATGTCTTCTAGTTTGCAACTTCTAAAGATACCTTTTAAGTAAAAGTTAAAGTTCCACGTGTTCAGGTTTATCAACACTTTTTCCTTTGGATTCTGCATCTCGCTTCCAGAAATCCTCTCTGCCCTACGGTCACCCATATTTCTCCCTAGCAGGCTCTGAAGTTCTGCCCAACACACTGAGCTGTTCAATCTGTGTGGGGCTGGTTTCTGTGTGCGGCTCAAGGGAGGACTCCAAGGACTAACTCCCACCCACCCCCAGCCACATGCGCCCTGCTCGTGTCCGCCTGTCCATCGTCTCCTGCCCCATCTGGCCCAGACACACCGCACCACCCAAGCACAGGGACAGGACCGCATGGCCTGCCGTCTGATGTGGAAGCACCTCACTTCAAACTGACACTAGCTATTCTTGGCCTTTGTTCTTAAAATAAACTTCAGGAGCAGTTTGCCAAATTTCATGAAAAACCCTGCCAGATTTCTTACTGGGATAGTTGGGAGTTTATAGACTCAGGAGAAACTGCATCTTTATGTATTGAGTCTCTTCATCATGAACACAGGCTCTCTCTTCGATAACATTTTGTACTTCTGTCCTCCAAGGTCACACACATCTCTTCAAAGATTTATTCCCACATTATTTGTCATGGCCGTTATAAGTCAAAGCCTTTTTCTCCCAAAGTACATTTTCTAACGGTCCTTCAGGTGCCACACTTTAGCACATCTGTGATTATCAGTTTCTACAAAGCCCAAGTGTCTCAACATGAGCATTGCCTCCCCACCGGCAACCCTGTAGACACTCCTACCTTCTTAGGCCCAAGTTCTCAGCTGGCCTTCTACAAAGTGCTTTTCCTGTACTCTCTCCCACCTACGGCCGCTGTCTCTGTTCTCTTCCCACAAGCAAAAACAGCTTCCTACCCCCCCAACGGCTTCTCCCCTCCCCCTAGTTCACCTCTCTGAACCACATACCTGACAAGTTCTGTGGTTCAAGTTGTGCCGATTATTGAGATAATCCTGAGATCGATTGTCTAGAGGTGCAAGATGGTCTGGTGTTGCTCTGGCTGCACTTCAGGGATGAGAAACGCACAAAGCTTCCATGCTGCTCTGCCATCTTGGCACCTCCTGGCCTCCACAAAGTGGAAAAAGCCCTCCTTTTCCAGCAGTCCATGCACAAGATACATGAGGCACTTTGTGTACAAGGTTAATTAAACCTGTGGTGCTTGGTCCTTCTGTGTTCCAGACGGGCAGCCACGCTGCCAAGCCTACGTGTGTCTGACGACGCCTTCACCTGTGCCTGCTCTTGGCAGCTCTGCTGGGCGTGCACGCCACAGACGCGGCTCCACAGGCCCCGTCTGCCCTCGGTGTGGTGGAGGCGTACGGATCACCTGTGTTCTCTGACAGCTGTCAAGCCTTCCCCTTCGTCCCTGAAGCTCTGCTGTTGTACCGGGATGTGCCGAGGGTACATTTATTCTTGTCCTTTTTCCTGTTCGGTTTTGGGGTGGAACGTTCAGGCTAAGGGCTCATATTTTCCTCCAAGTCTGAAAGTCAGCAGCTATGTTCTGCACTCTATTCTTCCAGGACTTCTGCTGTATATATGCTGAGCCTCTTAACTATTCCTTTGTTTCTTGGCATTCTTTCCCATGTTTTCTGTGTGTACTGTGTCCTATCCTTGTGCCTAATCCAATAGGCATGAATTCTTCACTTATGTTGAGTGCTTCAAGCATGCTTATTTCACTGTGGTTATTAGACTTTTCCATAAGCAAGGAGAATTCACATCCTGACAGTTGGGGTTGTTACAGAACTCTCCCAGCCACTGACGTCCTCACTCCTCACACATGCTGGACTCCAGTGTGCAGGTCCTTACAGAAGCAGTTGTTTTCATCCTCCTACACCACTGCCGGTGCTTCACCTCCTTCTGTCACTAGGGCTTTGTGAGGGGTGGTCCTAAGCACCAGGCCACAGGGACACTGGGCCCCACAGACGAGACCACTAGTTAGTACAGTTCCAAGCGAGGAGGCTGCTTCCGTGGCCCATTGGCCCACAGTCAGTCAGTGGGTGGGCTGCGTGTGGCCACCACCAATGCCAGGAGCCTGCAGCCCCAGGACCAGCCCCAAGTACAGCAAGGTCAGCTTTATCAGAGAAGCCAGCCACACCACTCTGCTTTCCTTTTTCCTATTTTTCTCTCATTGTGGTGTGTTTGGTGCAGGGCAAATACCAGTACGAAGCTGCTATGACGTTTTCACCACTTTTTACTGACTTTCACAAAACAAGAGCAAGACAGTGAAGGTCACTACAAGTTCACAGGATATAAACCAGCAGTACTGTCGAAGCTGGAAGCTGCCAGCGTGAGTTAGCCCAGGACGTTCGTCCCTAAGCTGCTGACCCAGGCTGGCTTCGCTAGGTCCAGTAACAATCAGAGGCTGGTGTTGCCAGTATAGACATGAAACTAGGCCCAAAGAGGTGAAAATACTCCCAACCACCAAAGTACCCGTCACATAGTTTATAGAAAAAAGGTACCAAAAGTCTGTAAGTTTCCAACCACAGCCAGAGTTAAAGCAGTGAACAGAGTGCACCTGTCACTCTACTTCAGGCTGCACATAACACACACCCGTTCGCGGCACCGCAGGCAACACACGCCATGTCATCTCCCGTGAGGACAACTGGTGATTTCAGGTCGGTGCGGCGTTCGTCCCTTAAACCACCAATTCCACAGTGCACTTTCCAATGTGGATTTTCTTCTTTATTTAAATGTGGTCCTCCAACTATCCTAAATTAATGAGCATGTAAAAGCTGTTTTCTTAATCGAGTGGAAATGTGGAACAATTGAACTGATGAGGGTGTCAGTTCCTGAGTGAACACAGCACGAGGGCCCGTGACTGTTAGTAAAGCCCAGGGAGGGAGAGAGAGTTGCAATTTTTTCTAAGAGGCCTTTGGAGTGAATTCAAGCCAGTTGAATACCTAATACTTCAACACATACTTAGAACATGTTATCACCTACCTTCTTTTTCACCCCGGGCACTGCCCACGAGGAATCTGGACACTAAGGGTGTGCTTGATAAGGACAGGCACGTAGAAATAAAGACGCTCTGAGTGGGTCTGATCTGTAAAAGGTGTCCCCATAACAAGCCAAATGCGATCATTAATAGTGTCATGTAACACGGTCCTTGTAAGGCTATCTTCCAGACCTTGAAGAGAACACATTCGTTTACACAGGTTTTAGTGACGACGGTCAGCTCTTGACCGGCTCCATGCAGAGTGCATACACATATACTGCCTGGTCACGGGCCTAAATTGTTCAGGAAGTAGCTCTGCGGTAAACACATCAGCACAACACCCAAAGTCATAATCTGAACACAGTAAAAACAGTAACACTTCCGTCAGCTTACTGAGTGCTAAGTATTGTTACTGGGACTAAACACGCATGCCTCTCGGTGTAATACATGTCTGTGCACATATAATCTAATCCTCAGAACACATCGCAAAGGTAGACAGCACGACCTCTACCTTTTCTAGATGAAAACACAAAGCCCACTAACTTGTCCACGGTCACATGGAAGTCAGTGTCAGGACACAGACCCAGGCAGCACGGCTCAATAATCAAATATTGATGAGGCACCTCAGTGAGCTCTCAGTGCTGGGTTAGACATAATGGAAAATGTGGAAGAAATCAGGGTTGATTTTAACGCTCCAAGGTTTTTAACTGAGTTGAACAGACGGGATACTAAAAACTACCTGATGCTTATACAAATGTGAATGGTACATAGTGACAAAAGAAATTAACCGAAACTCATCCTATCCTACTGGAAAGCACTTACTCATTTTCTTCTCACCTTACACCCTCTTGGACAAAACCAACTTGCGCAGCCAGGCCCTCTGGCAAGAGTGCAAGGGGGCCCAGAGGGGGGCAAGGGGTGCACGGCTTGGCACAGAAGCTCAGAGGCAAACGTTGTGGGCCCCACTGGCTGGCAAGCCTCATCTGTGTCTTCGGGTGCTCTGAAGGATGTGATCTTTTTCCTCCCCTGCTCTCCTTCCTGATAAAAAGGAACACCTCTTTCAAAATCACAACACTGTCTTCAGGAATCAGGGCAGCCGGGAGGCTGTACCTAAGGCTGGGCACCGACTTCCTACTATGGCCAAATGGGCACACACACACCCTGGCCGCCCACAGCCATAACCAGCTGCCAGCCTGCTTGTCCATAACAGAAGCTTCCAACTTCAGGAACGAGTTAAAAGATCCTCCCGACACCACCAAGTCCCGAGTCAAATGGTGGGATGCTGACGAGGCAAACGAACTGAAGACTCAGCCTTCCACACAGAGCCACTCTGTCCTCTGCCACGTGTCTCTGGCCAACCCGGGCTCTGTGCTCGCCTTCCAGAGAGAGGTTAGCCCCCAAGGCTGCTTCTCCAAGGTTCAGATTCCCTGATCCCCGCTTCTGGCACCTGGGAGTGGTGATGGCTGTTGTGGTTTAATGGCCTTCCAATGGCTCCCCCTCCTCCTGTGTCAAAGCCAGGAGCAGCGGGAGGGCCAGGGTACACCTGCAGACCTAGGCACAGCTCCTGGGGAGGCCAGCACGCTGAATTTTAAGGTTCCCAGGTTTTAGGGTAGCCACTCCTATAAGCAGCATTAGGGGTTTTTCTGCCCACAAGGGATCCCGGAGCTCGGGACTGACCCCATTATTGGTTGAGCACCTTGGGGAAGTAACCGTCTCTCTACTCTGCCTTCTACATCTGTAGACTTTCAAAGGCCAGACTAAAGATTTCTGAGGTCGCTACCAAACCTCGGTCAGGAGGGCTGGGATCTATTAGCCCAAGAAGCACAGTGTGCAGCAAACGAGGGTGGGAAATGCGGGCAGTGCCCACAGATCTTTGCTCCGCATGGGGCATCTGGACCACCTGGGGCTCCCAGAAACACGGGCTCTCCAGCCACACATATCAGATCCTGCTGCTCAGCAAGGTCCCAGGCAACTCCCCGTGTCGGAATTCACAGCAGCCTGGTCCCCACGCATCTGCACCACAGCTGCATCCCCTCCCGAACTCCATTTTCCTCAGCTCTTGTCCCAGAACTTCTGTCCACAACCCTACACATCCCTCTGAAATCCCAGACCTGCAGTCCCACAAGGGAGGGCCACAGGGCTGTGTATACCACCTCATAGTCAGTAGCCACCAGCGTCTGGAGCAAGGGTTTACTGAGGGAACAAATAAGGAGAAAAGGGGAAGAGGGGGTGCCTGGGTGGCTCAGTCAGTTGAGTTTCTCTGACTCTTGATCTCAGCTCATGGTTCACGGGATTGAGCCCCGAGTTAGGCTCCCTGCTGACAGTGTGGAGCCTGCTTGGGATTCTCTCTCTCCCTTCCCTCCCCCTCTCACTTGAGCTCTCTCTCAAAAAAGCAAATGTTAAAAAGAAAAAAGGAGAAAAAGAAGAGAAAACACAACTCCCAGGCAGAGAGACAGAAACGGGGAGCTAGCACATGAAAGCTGAGCCGGCAGCATAAGGGGAGCTAGAGCACAGTGAGGCAGGGGTGCACACACCCAACAGGACGCGCCATCAGAAGAAATGACTGTGGCTGTTCTCAGCGCCAACAATTAAGTAGTTCCTAGACCTTGGTGTTCTGAACCGTTTCCACTCAGACTTTTGGGGATTTCCCAGAGGATCCAAGAGGGCCTTCCAGCAATTATTATTTCAAAACCCACTGAATGACTTTCCGTCATGAGGGGCACACGGAAGTCCACGATGGCACTGGTCACTTCAGGCTGCTCTGACGCCCTGCTCGCTATTTATGCTGGAGAAACACAAATTTGTCACTTGCTAGCGTAGTTTATTATGGCATGGTTAAATCTGCAGTCTGAGCCCAGGGGCCTAAAAAGGGCGAGGCTGCCGTCCTCCTGCAAGCCTGTCACAGGGAGCTGATAAGTGAGGGATTCATGTCAGAGGGGCCCCAGCTCACCCCAAAGTCACTAAACAGGTGCCGGGTCCCCAGGAAGGTTCCTTCCACTTCTCAGACCACAGCACACTTTCTCCCTGACACGCACACACCCCCTCCTTGCCAAGCCCTCCTAAGGCTGCATCTCCAGGCACAAACGTAAGCCCCCATCAGCATAAAACCCCAAAGCCCTACAAGTCAGCACCACACCAGCAACAGCGTGCAGTTTCACACAGGTTAAAACTCTGTTCACATGACTCTGGATGAAGTTCTCATTGAACAGTGAATGCTAGAGTGGTGAAAAATATAAATTACATCAGTTTAGGCCAGAACAAACCCAGCCATGTAGACGAGGACCCCAACGTCCAAGGCGTGAGATACTCTGCTGAGACCACAAGGCTGGTCAGTGCAGAACCCGAACTCTGCCCCTCTCTGTCCCAAGCCACAGGCAACCGCCACTATCGGCTGCCAGCCTCACTCAACTAAACACACATGGAAGCCCAGAGGAGCCTGCGCGGAGCAAGGAGGGGGATGGCCGCAGACAATGACCTTCCCGTCCACAGGTCCCCGGCTCCTCGCACGGCTGCAGGTCCTGGCCATTCTGCCGGCATGGCATAGCCCCAAGCGCAGCTCGCGGAGGAGAGCAGGGTCCTTTAAACTCTGGGTCTGGAACTTAACACATGGAGGTCAGGCCGGAAGCACGTAAAAAGACACAAAAGTGCCTGAGAAAACACTAAAGGGACTCAGAACGCTTCATGAGGAGGTGCATCTGGAGAAGTGTTTAAAGGAAGTGATGGTGGGAGAGGGAAGATGGCGGCGTAGGAGGACGCTGGGCTCACCGCGCGTCCTGCTGATCACTTAGATTCCACCTACACCTGCCTAAATAACCCAGAAAACCGCCAGAGGATTAGCAGAACGGAGTCGCCGGAGCCAAGCGCAGACGAGAGGCCCACGGAAGAGGGTAGGAAGGGCGGCGAGGCGGTGCGCGATCCACGGACTGGCGGGAGGGAGCCGGGGCGGAGGGGCGGCTCGCCGGCCAAGCAGAGCCCCCGAGTCTGGCTTGCAAAAAGCGGAGGGGCCTGACGGACTGTGTTCCGACAGCAAGCGCGACTTAGCGTCTGGGAGGTCATAAGTTAACAGCTCTGCTCAGAAAGCGGGAAGGCTGGAGGACAAAGGGAAGGAGAGGTGCTGAGCCCCCGGACGACAGAGCTCAGTTTGGTGGGGAACAAAGGCGCTCGCCAGCGCCATCTCCCCCGCCCATCCCCCAGCCAAAATCCCAAAGAGAACCAGTTCCTGCCAGGGAACTTGCTCCCTCTGCGCAAACACCCAACTCTGTGCTTCTGCGGAGCCAAACCTCCGGCAGCGGATCTGACTCCCTCCTGCTGCCACAGGGCCCCTCCTGAAGTGGATCACCTAAGGAGAAGCGAGCTAAGCCTGCCCCTCCTGCCCCTGTGCACCTTGCCTACCCACCCCAGCTAAGACGCCAGATCCCCAGCATCACAAGCCTGGCAGTGTGCAAGTAGCCCAGACAGGCCACCCCACCCCACAGTGAATCCCGCCCCTAGGAGAGGGGAAGAGAAGGCACGCACCAGTCTGACTGTGGCCCCAGCGGTGGGCTGGGGGCAGACATCAGGTCTGACTGCGGCTCCGCCCACCAACTCCAGTTATACACCACAGCACAGGGGAAGTGCCCTGCAGGTCCTCACCACGCCAGGGACTATCCAAAATGACCAAGCGGAAGAATTCCCCTCAGAAGAATCTCCAGGAAATAACAACAGCTAATGAGCTGATCAAAAAGGATTTAAATAATATAACAGAAAGTGAATTTAGAATAATAGTCATAAAATTAATCGCTGGGCTTGAAAACAGTATAGCTGACAGCACAGAATCTCTTGCTACAGAGATCAAGGGACTAAGGAACAGTCACGAGGAGCTGAAAAATGCTTTAAACGAAATGCATAACAAAATGGAAACCACCACGGCTCGGATTGAAGAGGCAGAGGAGAGAATAGGTGAACTAGAAGATAAAGTTATGGAAAAAGAGGAAGCTGAGAAAAAGAGAGATAAAAAAATCCAGGAGTATGAGAGGAAACTTAGAGAACTAAGTGATACACTAAAAAGAAATAATATACGCATAATTGGTATCCCAGAGGAGGAAGAGAGAGGGAAAGGTGCTGAAGGGGTACTTGAAGAAATAATAGCTGAGAACTTCCCTGAAGTGGGGAAGGAAAAAGGCATTGAAATCCAAGAGGCACAGAGAACTCCC